GCCCGTACCTCATATTTAAATGGAAGACAATCCCGAAAGGAATTGTTTTTTTCGAGTGGTGTGATCGTGCGGGCCAGCGAAAAAAAATGGGTGCGCGTTGCAATCGATGTCTTACTTTTTTTTTTTTTTTCGCGGTGGAAATCGGGTGCGCGTTACAATCGAGGGCGCGGTAGAATCGAGTAAATACGGTATTTTCATGTAGATTGCTTGGTTTTCTTTCTACAGGTCAGGTACTGCAAAATTAAGGCGATTGTTATGTAACAATTCTGACCTATAAAAATTTGAGATAAAGCATGCAGATATAGCTGACTATGATCCTTTGGAACTGTAGAGTGCAAAAAACTATATAAATTTTGTGTGTAAAAAGGTAAAATACAATAATAAAATAGAAAAATTTACTATGGCTCTAGTTGCCAAGGGCTTTCAATGTTATGTAATTTTTGAAAAACATAATGAAGCAGCACTGACAATCTGAATAGATACTTGCACTCTATGGGCCTTCATCATGCTATGTGCAAAATTTCATAGAGGTATGACAATTCTAAGTATACGAACTAGCGTGTATAAGAAGCACAGGTCACACAAAACTGCAAAAGGAGAAAAACGCATTTGAAAGTTTGAAACCTTTTTTTTATCACAGAGTTGTTAGAAATGCATAATCTTTGGCCATAATGTTCAACAGAACTTTGAAAAGCACTGCAAGTTACTAGAACTGTCCTGCAGCATAGGTTGTGCCCTCACGGTGCTTGCGAGCACTCTCTTCTAGCCGTGCCCTTTTCACTCCACGACGACGTTGGCCCTTGCTTCTGCTGTCAGACGCTCGGACATTCTCTTGATGCGCCTCGCATCGCGGGAATCACTGAAAGTAACTAGATCTCTAGATGGCAGTATGTTGAGCTCTTCCAGGATGTGCTCGAAAGTAACATGACCTTTGTTGAACCGCAGGATTGCCATAGCTGCGGCAGTCTCGACAACCGTTCTGGAGACAAACTTAGTCTTGGGGCAAAGTAGGCAAGTTTTGCTGTTCAGGGATTTTGATGCGTTCTGGGTTTTCCCTTTGATGCATCGAGCAAGAAGCTTCTCATCCCTTAGCCGCTTATAAATGGGCAAAACTGCCAATCCCTGTGCTTTTGTCAGGAGAGGTGTGTGGCGTGGTGCAGGTTCACCAAGTGCTTCAGCGCGTTGATGTTTACACCACGACTCTGTTCCTGCAGGGCAAAACTTGTGGCTGCCAGCATTGTCAGTAGAGCATGAGTGGAAGTACGAAGCCCATACTGCAGTGTACATATCCCGTACACTCCGCCTGTTGCTTGTTATGGCAATCTGATAGTATGTTTGGAGCTTCTAAATGGCTGGCTCTTTCATTTTCTGCCCTCGTGGTAATGGCACATGCAGCTTCCGTAGCGCGGTGCCAAGTCTCTTGGCCACATGATTAGTGCAGTCTTCTTTTTCTATATTGACAGCACCATAGACTTTTGACTCTGCAACTGCACTATATGCTTTGCTGTCACCGTCACTCAAGAATGTCATGAAATGCAGCGGGGTGTCATAAGTCAATGTTCTCTGCCAAATGCGCATTGCAGCCTCCGTTTCCATGGCATGGGAGGAACAGTCTGCATTTTTTTTCACAGACTGGGCCATGCCCCGCCGCGGTGGTCTAGTGGCTAAGGTACTCGGCTGCTGACCCGCAGGGCGCGGGTTCGAATCCCGGCTGCGGCGGCTGCATTTCCGATGGAGGCGGAAATGTTGTAGGCCCGTGTGCTCAGATTTGGGTGCACGTTAAAGAACCCCAGGTGGTCTAAATTTCCGGAGTCCTCCACTACGGCGTCTCTCATAATCATATAGTGGTTTTGGGACGTTAAACCCCACATATCAATCAATCAACAGACTGGGCCATAAAATGCCTGCCACACTTCCTCGTCTGGGCCCATATCCTTGTGCCTACTGCATGTCAGGCAGTGATTTGATATGACCTCGAAGTCTAAGCAGAGGCCAGTATCTAAGGAGATAACTGCGCCAATCCCATTGTGGCTTTTGTGGCCCCTCTTCTGCCAAGTGCCGTCGAACATAACAGCCACATCAGTTTCGCCTGCTACTTCTTTCGTCAACTCTCTGGATCGGCGCAAGTTTTCACTCACAGCTGCCATAGGCAGCGATGTGCACCTTCTTTGCTATCGAAAAAAATCCTCGGTGGTGCATTGGCTTTGGGAGTCCAATAATGGAGCAAAATCATGACAATTGCTCATGCCCAATGCCGACAGCGCGTGCAGCCACCACCGCCTTCACATTTACAGCGAAACTATCTCGGGAGCTCCCACTGTCGTACTGTTGGCTCACTCGGCTGCTGCTGTCCACCGTATTACGCAGTGATTCGCTGTTTTTGCAATGAAGTTCGAGGAGCGACGAAAGTCCCTTGCGCTTTTCTGCCGGCTCCCGAACGGCAAGTTTTCGAATACCGCAAGCAGGGCATGCCGCACCTGCCACAAGTGCCGTCAGCAAGAGGGTCTCGCACAAAACTGTCGTTGCACAAACCTCATCGCGCTGTCTTTCGTCTTTTTCGAACAAGCCGAGCTTCTTTTCCGAAGCACTGACGAAATGAAAGCGCAGCGTCAATCCCTTCATCGCAGCCACTGTCGCTTGCGCACTCGTCGATGCCGCCGTCAGGCCTAGCACACGTAGGCGCGTTCTCATTCGTCGCCGTCGTTCGGGGCGCTTTACGCCGCCTTTCCTTGAACTTGTGCTTCGTTCAAAACTTCTGCGGTCTCAAGTTGCACTTTTTCGGGCTTGTCATCGCGGAAATATGCGTAGACGCGCAGAAAAGCAGACGGACCAAATGCCGATGGCCGCCACCAACACAGCTGACAATGACTCGGTAGTGAATGGCGATGCGACTTAGGGTGCCGCGCGTTTCAAACCGCTCAAACCACGGGATAAAAAGGCCTCGTTTTTTATTTTTTTTTGCCCACGTACGAAACTGGCGGTCGTCGGAGCTGTAAGAAGAAGGCCGGACGCAACTTTCCCAACCGATCGCGATGGCGGGCGGCACTGCGACGGGGAGCAGCGCGCAGTCAAAGATGGCCAATATCGGCGCAAATTCACGAAATTTTGAGCCACCGCGATGCCTTCATACACATTTTTTTGCATTTTGCGGTTCGAATTTAGTTTTGAAATTTTCACAGATGAAAGAAGAAGGTTTGAAGATTACAATGCAATAAAAATCGGAAATACGAGAAATTTTGCTAAAAACGCGATGTTTCGACATCTCCCCTTAAGCAAGTAACAACTAGGCCAATAATCAGTCTTGTTATAATATGCACCTATTCATTCCTAGCAAATACATCGAAATTTTTAATAATTTAAATTTGAATCGAAGGGAATTCGAATACCTTACTATTCATTCGAATATTCAAAGCATTCAAATATTTGCACAAGCCTACTTCTTGGTTGCCATGTGGTAATGGTTCCTGAACTGGCATGCATATGAGCCGTGCCAAGATGTGATTTCGAAGCCAATGAACTGCCAAAAAAAGCTTTCCTTTCTGTGGAGGGGATAGAAGCTTTTTTCTTGAATTTTCTCGTAATCAACATAAGTTGGTGCTATAGTTTATTTTTAACTGTGCTAATATTGCATTCAAGTGAATTTCGGTATTGGAACCATGAGAATCAGGTGCACGTTCGCGTAAACTCTGTCTAGATCAGTACCCTGGCCGGGAAGAAAATGCACTGATTTCATCTACCTTTTTTTTTTTTATCAGGATCAGGGCACTCTTTTAAAAATATCTTCCCCAAAGGCATTTGCTCTCTCAAATTTCAAGTTCCCTGAACTCGTTTTCAGATTATTGTTTAGTGAAATGTTAACGTGGGCATGGAAGATACAGTTGAACCTGGATATCACAAAATTGAAAAATTCCCGGAAAATTTGTTATAAAGAAGATTTCGTTATATCCAGGTTTGGTACGAAAATTCGTAAACGTGCAAATTAAACAAATGGGGGACTGAAGGCAGAGCTAACCCAAACCACTTATTCTACAGTAAAAAACTGTGATATTATTGTGATAAAATTATATGGACAATCTCGGCGGGGTTTCGTCATCACTGCCATGTTCCAGTAAAAAGTCCAAATTGATAACATGCCCCTGTGCATTCGTAAGTTTCATAAGCGGGTAAAAGCACACGAGCATTGCTGAAGGAGAGATCGAATAAATCGGCCCATCACTATCGCCTGGAAAGTGCATAAGATAACATCTCCCGGGTGTTAGAACTGCTGTTGAATGCTCAAACAGAAATTAAAGCGCCCGTCTTTAATGAGCATTAGACAACGCTGGAAGGGAGGGAGGGGGGATCGCTCGAGTCGAATGAATGAACGTGGATTTTAAGGGCAGCACACCCTCGAATACGCCCGCGGCGGCAAGAACGGCGGCAACACTGGCTCAGTTCGTTGGGTGCAGGCCCGCCTGCCCGTACCTCGCGCTCACCCGCGCTCAATAACCAGTGCTCGCTCTGGCATGGTGCGGTCTGGCTGGGCCAGAGCCACGAAGCGCGCCGCTGCAGCTTCGCGCTTCCTCGGCGGTGGGGCACCCGTGGAACATGCATGCTCGTACCAAAATGCCATAATTCCGAGCAAATTTCTAGATTGTTCGTGGGGCAAATTCTTAATTAATATCAAGGCTGTCTTCCGCTGTTACTTTATTACATAGAGGTCACAAATACATGTGCTTCTATGAAGCAACGGCCAGGATTAGAAAAACTGTTATATCAAGGAATTCGTTATATGGAGGTTCATTATAAGCAAGTTTAACTGTATTGATGCAGGCAGCATGATTGAATTTTTGTCAATGGCACTGTCTAATGTAAGACCTGGTACAACACTACCAACTAAATTGGGTAGAGGCTGTAAATAAATTACAGGGTGTATTTGTTGATAAATCATGCTATAGGTTGCAGATAAATTGGCTACAGGTGCAAAAAGAATAGTCAGCAAAACTTTTATTTGTGCGCAGTGTGGCATATGTGTCCCGATCAGGTGGCATGTCTAACGAGCTGAACAACATAATCTCTCGTGCCACCAACGGTGTGTACGAAGGGGTGGCCATCGGTGGTGACCGGTACCCCGGCACTACATTCATGGACCACCTGGTACGCTACCAGGCTGACCCCCAGGTCAAGATGCTTGTGCTGCTCGGAGAGGTAAGTCCCTCACTTTTCATACCTGCTTGTGTAATGTGATCAAATTTTCATGAGCAAAAATCATTTAATTGAAACGGTCACTTAAGCAATGTACAGGCTTCACAGTTGATTGATATCCTGTTTGTTCCATGGGAGAAAAGCTTGCTTAACCATTTAGCCATCAATGCCTGGCTGTATTAGTCACACAAGTTTGTATCAGCATGGCTAGTAACGAACTGTACTCATCTGGCCTGGTTTTCTTCTTCTTCTACTGTCAGAAACAACTGCTTTACTTGCAATATTCAACCTCAGATGGTGGGAATTGTCTTTTTTTATTTTTATTTTCAGAATCGGAGCTGGGTGGTACTTCTAAAAAAGTTGGTGATTTCAGTACATTTTTCAGCAGTAAATAGTTGGCTAAAGAGTTAAATGGTGCCATCATTGGTGGCTGCACACAAAAAGGAAATGAGCCGGAGTGCCAGCAGCAAGTATTCCCAAGTCACGACAGGAAATCTGCTGCTATTTCTGAAGCGAAAAGCAGAAAATCGTTGCATATCTCAGGGTTTGCGTTAGTGGCTACTTTGGGCCAAATGGGCTACTTTAGGGCTGTGTGTGGCTACAAAAGTTTCAAGTAGGCCCCATGGCTACATTGTGGTTAAATTGAAATTCTGTTTTCACGCATAAAGCAGCGAAAGTTACTATTTTCATTTAAAAGAACAAGCAAGGCTAAAGAGCACTCATTATTTTCAACCTTTGCTGTTGTGTCAATAGATCGCGCGCGTGTGTTTGGTACATCTGTAGGCTGGTTGGCACACATTGAGGCACAACTACGAAACACATGGTGTGCCCACAAAGACTAAGCGTTGAAGTTCCGGCCATGTTGGCGAATGCGTGGCTAGAGCTTTGCTCATTTCGCCAGCTATCTATTCTGTTTTCTGTTTCTAAAGCTGATATCACAATGTGCATCTTCGTGTGAAATTGACAAAAAGTGAGCATCCTAATCAAAATGAACCTGCTCTGTTATCACAATTCAGTGCAGTCTACTTATAATGATGTCCTCGTGCCAAGGTAACCCTATTGATATAATCGAATATTGTTCTAAGTAGGTTGACAAAAAAGGACAAAATGAAGACGAAAATTAATTTGTATGCATAGTTGCACTTCGTTGCAAGGTAGTGCAACTACGTACTACACACAAACCTCGATATAACAAATATAGATATAGTGGAATATTGGTTATAATGAAGTAATTGAAAAATAGTTTTGCAATAGATATAGTGTTAGGAATGTACCTTTGTAATGAAATTTTGAATACAGTGAACTTATTTTCATGTAAGATGTAACTTTGTTATTATGAGGTTTTAGCACGCTTATTTGCAGAAAAAGCATAGTCTGTCAGCTTTGATTGATGTGCGCGTAGCTGGTGCACATATTTCTCCTAAGCATCTACAGGTTTTCCTCGCTCAATTTAAACCAAGCGCCAGCCAAATTAATCTAGGTGCCAGTCAATTTAATCCAGCCGCCACTCAAATTAATCCAGGTGTCATTCATTTTATTCCAAGTGCTACTGAAATTAATCCAACCACCAGCCGATTTAATCTGGACGTCATCGAATTTAATCCTGATGACATTGTGACTTCAAAACGACCCAGAATTTTCGGGAATGCGTAGACTGAATAGCTTTGGAGTGAATATAACAGGGAAAAACCATGAATGAGTCATGAACTAGTGACACAATGTGACTCGCGTGACTTTATCACGCCTATCACCCGCGTAAGCTCTATTCACACCTTCGACATGCATATAAAATGAAACGCCGTCCACACAGTAATAACTTGATACTTATTAATCAGGCCAATGATCTCATCACGAGTGACTTAGGTGACGTCCTCACGCATATCACCCACGCAGGCACTGTCTTAACCTTCCGTAATGCATATCAAATGAAACGTCTTTGAAAGAGCAGGAGCCTGATATCTAAAACTCTGCCAAGCCACCGGATCACCAGTGACTCAGGGGACGTCATCACCAATATCACCCGCGCACGTAATTTACTCGCCTGCCGACATGCATACCAAAACGAAACGTCTTTGAGAGAGCAATAACGTGTTACCTATGACTCGGCCAACTGACTTGATCACTAGTAACTCAGGTGACGTCATCCCGCCTATCACCCACGCATGCAATGTCTAACCTGCAGTCATGTATACCAAACGAAACATCTTTGAGAGGCTAATAAATTGAACGCTGTCAATTGGCCTAGTGACGTGATCACTAGTGACTCGTGTGACGTCATCGCGCCTGACACCCATGCACGCAGTGTCTAACCCGAGTTCATATATGTCAAACGAAACGTCTTTGAGAGAGTAATAACCGGAACGCTGTCACTAGGCCCAGTGACGTCATCAGTAGTGACTGCCGTGACATCATCTCGCCTAAGACTCACGCAAGCACTCTCTAATGTGCCTTCATGCATACCAAACAAAAAGTCTTTGAAAGGGTAATAACTTGAACAATGTCACTACCTAGTGACGTCATCACTAGTGACTCCCGTGACGTCATTACGCCTATCACACACGCACGTGGTGTCCTAACCTGTCTTCATGCATATCAAACGAAACGTCTTTGGGAGAGTAATAACTTGAACGCTGTCACTTGGGCTAGTGACGTGATCACTAGTGACTCGCGTGAAGCCATCACGCCTGACACCCACGCAAGCACTCTGTAACCTGCCTTCATGCATATCAAACGAAACGTCTTGCGAGAGTAATAACTCGAATGCTCTCATTAGGCCTAGTGACGTGATTACTAGTGACTTGTGACGTCATCACGTCTATCACACACGCTTGTGCTGTCCTAACCTGTCTTCATGCATATCAAACGAAACGTCTGTGAGAGAGCTATAATGTCATACTTATGACTCTGCCAACCGACTTGATCACTAGTGACTTACGTGACGTCATCACGACTAATACTCATGCAAGCACTCTCTAACGTGCCTTCATGAATATCAAACGAAACGTCATTGAGAGAACATTAACTTGAAGGCCGTTGCAGGCAGCGTCTGCTAGTAAAAAACTGACTTCTCGTGCTGCAAAAGTGCTCTCCGAAACACTCAAAATCAATATAAAAACCGTGCGTTCTATTGCCGCTAGTGATCGTGACACAGCTAAAACACGTGGTGGTTCGTCGAGGAAATTTGGACCAGACGTGGTGAACGCCCTGCAACGAATCGTACAAGAAAATCCATCCTTCACGCTGGAACAAATAAAGAGGGCTCTCAAAGATGAGATGCCTAACAATGAAGTGAGCACGTCGACGATTGATCGGCTTCTCGATGGCCATGGTTATTCTGCTGCTGACCCCGAGCCCACTAGACAGAAATCACGCCGACATGAAACAGTTGCGGTGCCGATATGCCCAGTGGCTTCAGAGCGAGGGAACTACGCTAAGACGATACTACATCGATGAGACCAACTTCAACTTATGGTGCTCGCGCAGTTTCGGAAGGGCGAAAGGAGGTGCTCCAGCGTGCCGTTTGTCAACTAGTGCGAAGGGGGTGAATGTAAATGTTATACCTTGCATGTCAGTGAATGGCCTTCCTCATTGAACAATTGTGGACAAGGTCCACTGGGCTGTCTTCAACGACTTTCTCGCAGAAGTGTCGAGTAAACTTTCACAGCAGGAACCAGTAATACAGGCAGTGTTCCTGTTTGACAACGCACCAGCGCACCGCCGCGCCGAACAGGCTGTCCTTGCGGCAAGCGACCACACAGTCAAGTGGCCACCATCATACAGCCCTTTCTTCAATTCGATTGAGGAGCTCTTCTCAAAGTTCAAGGCAGGTGTAAAGGGATTCCTAAGCGAACGGAGGGATGATCTCCTCACGACACCGGGAGGGATCTCCAAGAAAGAACATCGCCGTGCTCTGCTGGTTGAGGCCGCGGGGCGCTCTATGCAGCACATCCAGCGTGTGGACTGTGCCGCTTAAGATAGGCACAATTACACTTTTGTACAAGCTGCCCTCGACTGCCTTGATATGTAGAACACTGCTCAGCAGCACAACTACGGGTTCATGAAAACTGCTTTGGCTGTATTACCAGCTTTACCAACTTTTCCCATAAATGCTTGCGTGCCCGTTGATGGCGCTAGTGTGAGGTCTATTGCCATGCTTGGTGCCATCGAAGAAATGGGGGAAGGCTGGTTTTCGCACCATGTGTGCCTGTGACGTGAACATTCTGAGTGGTGGGAAGTTAGACATATAGTCCACAATGCTTCGAATTGCTGCAAGACGCATCAAATAAAGAACAGCTATTTGGGGTAGTTGGTTAAATTTCATTGTAGTTAGCGTTGCAGCGCAAGCACGCAAGTGGTATTAGAAAAGTGAACGGAAGGCGAGGAACAAAAGGCACAAATGACAGCACGAGCACCGACTATCTACTGACATTATTTTTCGCAGCACACATGGTAATATATGGTAACAGGCAAAATCTTTCAAGAGCAAACGTGAGCAACGTCGCATAGTCCTGGGGAAGAGTCTGTTAGATAGGGGTTAGCCATTTCATTATTGTGCTTCGTTTTTATCGAACTCCCCAGGTCTATGTCACATTGGTCACGTTTGCTGTGAAAATATCTTGCCTGTCTGTATATATTTACATGTGTGCTGCAAAAAATAAAGGCAGTTGGTAATCAGTGCTCGTGCTGTAATCTGTGCCTTTCGTTCCTCGCCTTCCATTCACTTTTCTTCAAGCACTTTCGGGCTTGCGCTGCAATCCTTATTACAACGCATCAATTACTAGCTGCAAAAACAAGATCAAGGTTGCTCTTTCAGGTACCCCGCCTCGCCTGTTTGGGTTTGGGTTTATTTCCAACACAAAAAGTTGGGGCTTCCCCAGGCAAAAAAGCTGTTGAAAAACAACTTGAAGGGACCTGAGGGACCGTACAGGCAGCAGCGAATAAAAAGTATAACTAACACGACATGATACAACTTATACAACTTGACAAGATATAATAGCATCGGT